AAAAAAACTCCTGAAAAGTAAATGTCCTGACCCAGATCATTTCACTTGAGAATTCTACCAAACATTTAAGAATTAATGCTAACTCTGCACTGTCTTTTCCAGAAATAGAAGAGGAGGGAACACTTCCCAGTATTTATTACCTTGATACCAAAACCAGACAAGTTAATGCAAAAAAAAAAGGGGGAAACTACAGACCGTTATCCCTCATGAATATAGGTATAAAAAGCCCTAATAAATTATTAGCAAATTGAATTCAGCAGTATATACAAAGAGTTGTACACCATATCCGAGTTCATTCTAGAGATGCAAGGCTGGTTCAATATCTGAAATTGGTGTAATCCCCATAGTCACAAGCCAAAGAAGAAAAATCCCATGATTGTGTTAATCGATGCAGAAAAAGAATTTAACAAAGTTTAACATCCTTTCATGGTAAAAACTCTCAGGAAAACAGGAATAGAGAACTTTCTCAACTTGATAAACAGCATCTACCAAAAGCCAAAAGCACTTCATACTCAACGGTGAAAAACTTTCCCAAGTTCCAAACACATAGCATACGTTCAACTATCTACTCAACAGCTCTTAGATATTTCACAGACATCTCAGAAGCAACATGTCCAAAATTGAATGTCTACTTTACACCTCCTGAATCTACCCTGCCTATCTTCTCCAACTCACCAAATTGCACATATAATGGGCTCCTTAGCACAAAACCTTGGAGTCATCTGTGATAAGAGCAATCTTATTATCACAACAAAAATCCAGTGCCCCATCTTGGCTCCCTTAGTCTGTTCTCTACACAGCAACTTGAGTGCCTTTACATGTTAAGTCAAACCATGGCTTTTCTCTTATTAGAACTCTTTGGTAGTTTCCCATGATGCTAATAAAGGCAATTTTGTAGTTTTCAGAATATGGAAACGTTTTTTATAATGATTCCTTAGTAATACTAACACATCATTTATTCTCTAATAAGTATTTATTGCTAAGCAGCTATGTGCTGGGAAGACCATTAAATATTGGTACCATGACTGTGGAAAAAATAAACCTGGCCATTACATTCATGGAGCTTAAAATCCAGGGGAGAGTACAGGTAGGTAATTATTACATAGTGTGCTCGGTGCTCAGATGTGAAAAATACAGAGTGCTATGAGAGCATTTGCAAAGGCCTCCTTTCTAGAGGAAGTGGAAAGTAAACCGAGACCTGTAACATAGTTAGAAATGAAGCAGGTGGGGGAGGGGGCAGGAAGAGAGAGAGAAAGTGATTAGGCAGGTGTGAAGTTGGGAAAGGTGGAAGAATAGTTAAGAGCAGTTAAAAAGGGTCCGGACCCCAAAGAGCCTTGTACATTATGCTATACTTTATACATTATACATTATACTTTTGGACTTTATCCTAAGAAATTAAGGATTCTGAATTGAGATTATGGACTGGAGGATTATGAATAAGAGAGTGACATAAAATTTCTGTTTTAGAATGATTATTTAAGCTGCAGTTTGGAGTATGAGTCAGAGAGACAAGACTAGCAGCAAAGAGAGTAGCTAGAAAGTGGTTATCAAATCCAGATGGGTAGTAATGGTGATCCGCACTCAGTTAATGCCTGGAGAGATGAATATTGGATGTATTCAAGAGACAGTTAGGAGATAGGGTCGATGGCACTTGACAGTGAGAAAGGAGCCAGGGAGGTTGCCCAAGTTTCTGTGAGAGTATGTGAAAAGAGGAGCAGCTTTATAGAAAGGATGAATCCAGATTTGTAGATTAAGTGTGAATTCCCTGTGGAACTTCCTAAGGGGAACGTCCTATGGACAGTTCTAAATTTGGTTTCAGAAATGAGTGAGTGAGGATGTGGGGGAGTGAAGGAGAGAGATGTGGATGGGGATTAGTATTTTTTTCCTTCCCTGTGATATTTATCTCTAAGTGTTCAAATAATGTTTAAGGATCCTAAGTTGTATGTTCTCTGTTATCATACCGAGAAGAGGAAAGGTAGACTTGTTAAAACTTGTTAAGAAGTTGTGTTTACTTTTAAANAATATGGAAACGTTTTTTATAATGATTCCTTAGTAATACTAACACATCATTTATCCTCTAATAAGTATTTATTGCTAAGCAGCTATGTGCTGGGAAGACCATTAAATATTGGTACCATGACTGTGGAAAAAATAAACCTGGCCATTACATTCATGGAGCTTAAAATCCAGGGGAGAATACAGGTAGGTAATTATTACATAGTGTGCTCGGTGCTCAGAAGTGAAAAATACAGAGTGCTATGAGAGCATTTGCAAAGGCCTCCTTTCTAGAGGAAGTGGAAAGTAAACCGAGACCTGTAACATAGTTAGAAATGAAGCAGGTGGGGGAGGGGGCAGGAAGAGAGAGAGAAAGTGATTAGGCAGGTGTGAAGTTGGGAAAGGTGGAAGAATAGTTAAGAGCAGTTAAAAAGGGTCCGGACCCCAAAGAGCCTTGTACATTATGCTATACTTTATACATTATACATTATACTTTTGGACTTTATCCTAAGAAATTAAGGATTCTGAATTGAGATTATGGACTGGAGGATTATGAATAAGAGAGTGACATAAAATTTCTGTTTTAGAATGATTATTTAAGCTGCAGTTTGGAGTATGAGTCAGAGAGACAAGACTAGCAGCAAAGAGAGTAGCTAGAAAGTGGTTATCAAATCCAGATGGGTAGTAATGGTGATCCGCACTCAGTTAATGCCTGGAGAGATGAATATTGGATGTATTCAAGAGACAGTTAGGAGATAGGGTCGATGGCACTTGACAGTGAGAAAGGAGCCAGGGAGGTTGCCCAAGTTTCTGTGAGAGTATGTGAAAAGAGGAGCAGCTTTATAGAAAGGATGAATCCAGATTTGTAGATTAAGTGTGAATTCCCTGTGGAACTTCCTCAGGGGAACGTCCTATGGACAGTTCTAAATTTGGTTTCAGAAATGAGTGAGTGAGGATGTGGGGAGTGAAGGAGAGAGATGTGGATGGGGATTAGTATTTTTTTCCTTCCCTGTGATATTTACAGGGGAACGTCCTATGGACAGTTCTAAATTTGGTTTCAGAAATGAGTGAGTGAGGATGTGGGGGAGTGAAGGAGAGAGATGTGGATGGGGATTAGTATTTTTTTCCTTCCCTGTGATATTTATCTCTAAGTGTTCAAATAATGTTTAAGGATCCTAAGTTGTATGTTCTCTGTTACCATACCGAGAAGAGGAAAGGTAGACTTGTTAAAACTTGTTAAGAAGTTGTGTTTACTTTTAAAAGTTAGTGATCCTTGAATGAAGACACTGGTTGGCTCTAATTCAGGAAAAGTGGAGACTTCCCCTTGATGTTAAATATAAGTTTGTGTGTGACACATAGTGATCTAGAACTTTGCTGTTACACTCTGTTTTTCAGTGTGTGTGAAATTCAGCATAAGGTACAGTTGTGGTCTGTTCAAGCTGCCATAACAACAACAACAACAAAAACATAAACAGGATAGCTTATAAACAACAGAAATTTATTTTTCACAGTTCTGGAGGCTGGGAAGTCCAAGATCAAGGTGATGGCAGATTTGGTGTGTGGCAAGGGCTGCTTTCTGGTTTATAGACGAGGCTTTCTGGCGATGTTCTCACATGGTGGAAGGACTGAGGGTTCTCTCTCAGGCCTCTTTTATAAGGACACTAATCCCATTTATGAGAACTCTGCCCTCATTACCTAGTCATCGCCCAAGGGCACCACTTCCAATACCATCACCTTGAGGGTTAGAATTTCAATATATGAATTTTGGGGAGACACACAAATTCAGACCAAAGCAGGTGCATTTCTTCAAGAAACACAGCATCATGGTTGAGAGTAAGGGCTCTGATGCCAGCCTGCCTGGCTTTAAGTTCCAGCCCTGTCATCTACCAATGGTGTGATCTTGTGCAAATTATTTAACTTCTCCAAGTTTGTTTCATCACTTATAAAATGGGAAAAATATTACCTACATCATTAGTTTTTGTGAGAATCGAGTTAATAATGAAAGCATTTAGAACAGAACTAAACCAGTGTTCTATTCTTTAATAAAGCATTTAGAACAGAACTAAATAACTAAGTAATTAATATTATTATTGTTATTATCAGTACTGTTAATAGGCACAGGCTTAGTTTATGGAGGTAGCAAGGGCCATGATTAACTTAAATCTGTGGTGTGCACTGCAGGGGTCTCTTGATTGTAAAGCGCCAAGGTGTCTCTCAATTCCTGTGACTTCGCTGAAGACTGTGAACTGCAATGATGTGAAGATGATAGTTATGCTTTCACTGTTTCATGCTTTTTAATTATGGGAGTGGGTGGTTATGTATTAGGAGGAAACTGGGGGTTGTTAACTGCATATTAATAAGAAACTGGGAACATGTAAGAGTATTTCTGTTTTCTTTGTATCACTAATGATGTTTTTTTTACAGACTGTGGATTTTAGTTCTGACCTGAAGAAATAGTGTTTCCATGTAGGTTTTCTGCTCCAAGATAAAACAAAAAACCTTCCTATTTAAACTTATAGATGAACTAAAGTTATAATGAGGCGGGTTCTTTCTCTTTTTTCTTTTCTGAAAAGCTCATCTTCTTCATTTACAATCAACATGGATTGGGAGGAGGACAGACTGATGCTCATATTTTGCATGTAGGGACTAAAGTGCTGAGGCTGGGGTCTGGGCCAGTGAAAAGAATTGTGACAACATGGGGTGACAATGCCAGACACTCAGCATCCCTATAATTTGGCCACTTGCACAGTCGGAAATACAGGTCTTTCTTGATCTTCCCTGGAATCCTGCTATGAAAAATAAATTCATTCAGGAATTAAGGTTACACTTATGTGATTGCCATTTTCACTGTTAGATTATTTCCTATAAACTAATATTTTACTTTGAATTTATAGGAATTTGAAAGGGATTATGTTGCATTTAAGTCCAAAACATTGGATTTTGACAGACGGCTTGGGACAATTCTTTGTGAAGCTTTCTTTAACTGCAATGGTTTAGAAGCAGCATTTAAGGTTAGTTCTGAAGAAGCTCTCACAAAAATGTTTTACTAATGAATAATTTAGACTGTTAGATGAAAGGGGCCAATACATTCCTTTCTATTTCAGGTAAAGTATTAACTAGATTAACAAGTCACGTTACCTTTTAATTCAGCTTTTAATAATGCACTAATGAATAACAAAAATACTTTGGACAAGGTCATTTTTAGGAAACTTAACTATTTTTCTTTTTTTTTTGCATTCACGGTGTTTTGGCTTTCATTACCTTTAGCGCAAATTTGGCGTGACCAATGAAAATATTGATTCAAAATTAAGCTGCAGTGAAAAGTGAAAAATATTTTTTAATTCAGGAATTTCTTTTCTTTGCATTGTTTACATATGTTGGGTCCACCTGCTTACTTCATTATTCTGACTGAAGGAAGTAGCAGTTTACGTACTGTATTTAATCAAGCATAAGACATCATTGATTATCAGACACACCATTATTTTTTGCATCAATAAAGAAAAAGCTGCCAAATAATTATGATTCCATTGATTGTATAATGCAATCCAATTTCAGAGATTTTGAAACATCAAAAGAATGTTTGTCATGGAATTGATGAAATACAGATTGTTGTAGAATTAAGAGTTGCATAAAAGAAAAGCATCTTGATAGTTCTCCCAAATGAATGCTTATAATATGGGAAGAAACTTGCTTGTCAAAGAAGAGAATTAAAAATTAAGTGTAAATTAGTAATTAGGTGACATCCCAAAAAAGGAATTGAGGATTCAATATCAGAAGAAACACAGCTAGGGAATCATAGGCACAATTCACTTAAAATGGCAGGGCAAAACAATGTAGCAGACACAGACTTTTAAAAGATAATGTTTGATTTTGACCTTCAAATTCAAGTGAATTGGCTGGGAAGTGGTGAAGTCCCAGTGCCCTCTAGCCATAGACAAGAATTTTAATGTGGAGAATTCATAAGGGTCAGATAGTTTTATTTTTTTTTAAGAACTCTTCAATGAAAATAAGATGCCGATAGTTAAAATATATAGCCTGTTATAAAATGGCCTATAATCTCATTTCTTAAGTATGATTACTATTATATTCAATGCTGATACTAATTTTTCTTTGACATGATATGTGTACATATTTCTCTTTGACAAAAATGGCATTGTGGCCCTCTCTTGTAACATTTTCCATTTAGCAGAGTCATAAATATTTTTCTCACCTTTACCGCAGAATTCAACAATTCAACAATATGATTATTTTTATTTTTAAACCAGTAAGGAGATCACAGCCCTCGGCATGGTGTGGTCTGCACCACGCTCAGCCAGTGAGTGCACCGGCCATCCCTATATAGGATCTGAACCCACAGCCTCGGCACTACCAGCGTCACACTCTCCTGAGTGAGCCACAGGGCCGGCCCCAACAATATGATTTTTTAATGTCTGCATTAGTAGTCTATCATTTTCTTTCATGCTTTTATAAATAACTGGAAGAAAGAATATATAGTAAAATAATTACAGAGATTTTTTTTTTTTTTTGGTATCTGGCTGATATCGGGATCTGAATCTTTGACCTCGGTGTTATAAGGCTGTGCTCTAACCAACTGAGCTAAGCAGCCAGCCCACTCAAGCTGTTTTTAATTCAAGTCTGTCTTCTTGCCCTCATCATAGCCATTAATATGGACTCTATTATAGTACACGCCAGTTATTTTTTTCTAAACAATTTTATATCTTACCTTATTGTCATGTATTTCTTTCTTTCATTTTCCATATACTTGTTTCTTGTCGGCTGAAAAACTGTGAGATGAGACCCCGCTCTCATAACTTCTGCAAAGTGGGAGCATCATCTCATAGCTTTTGTTATGTTTAGGTTGCTTTCTGCGGTGCCATACGAAGCAGGCATTTAATAACTGCTTTGAGGTGAGATGGACTGACTGGTAATTTGAATGTTGAAATGATACACTGATGAGGATCAAATACTGGAAGAGTAATGGCAGAAGAAAAATTATAGGGTTGTATACTTTTCCATTTAGCGGAGTCATAAATATTTTTCTCACCTTTACCACAGAATTCAACAATTCAACAATATGATTATTTTTATTTTTAAACCAGTAAGGAGATCACAGCCCTCGGCATGGTGTGGTCTGCACCACGCTCAGCCAGTGAGTGCACCGGCCATCCCTATATAGGATCTGAACCCACAGCCTCGGCACTACCAGCGTCACACTCTCCTGAGTGAGCCACAGGGCCGGCCCCAACAATATGATTTTTTAATGTCTGCATTAGTAGTCTATCATTTTCTTTCATGCTTTTATAAATAACTGGAAGAAAGAATATATAGTAAAATAATTACAGAGATTTTTTTTTTTTTTTGGTATCTGGCTGATATCGGGATCTGAATCTTTGACCTCGGTGTTATAAGGCTGTGCTCTAACCAACTGAGCTAAGCAGCCAGCCCACTCAAGCTGTTTTTAATTCAAGTCTGTCTTCTTGCCCTCATCATAGCCATTAATATGGACTCTATTATAGTACATGCCAGTTATTTTTTTCTAAACAATTTTATATCTTACCTTATTGTCATGTATTTCTTTCTTTAATTTTCCATATACTTGTATCTTGTCGGCTGAAAAACTGTGAGATGAGACCCCGCTCTCATAACTTCTGCAAAGTGGGAGCATCACCTCATAGCTTTTGTTATGTTTAGGTTGCTTTCTGCGGTGCCATACGAAGCAGGCATTTAATAACTGCTTTGAGGTGAGATGGACTGACTGGTAATTTGAATGTTGAAATGATACACTGATGAGGATCAAATACTGGAAGAGTAATGGCAGAAGAAAAATTATAGGGTTGTATACTTAGGGAAAAAAATGATTTCAATCGTAGATACAGGTTGATGAACTCTGACCATTTACTGTTGGTCTCAGGGAAGAAATATTTGTAGACTGTTCTGTGAGGATGACTATTTGATGCCTGTTACTGTCAAAGATGTAGCCAGGAAGAGCACTGGAACTTAAACACTATTCTACTCAGGTATAAAACCATAGGACCTCAAAACGTAGAGTGCTGGCACTCACTAAAAACCCAAACAAAATGCTCATGAATGACTCTGAAATTCACATGAAGGTAGACTGAAGGGTGTTAAGAAAAAGAAGTGTCTAGAAAAAGACTCAGACAATTTGAAAGCTATAAAATTCTGAAGTGTATATGGTTCAGGTGGTCGCAAATTAAAAAAAAAAATCTTTCAAAGAGGTAAACCTAGGATAAATATAAATATGTACTACTTTGAACAGTGACAACAGAGTTATGAAAAACTGTGTATTACCTAATGAAACTGAGAAGTAAAATAAAATTAAGGTTAACCTTACAGATCTTAATTTGGAATATTTAGGTATAGAAGCATATAGTGGGAATCAATCTTTAGCTTTTTGAGGTCTGTGTGAAGGGAAATGTCTATGAACTTTGTAGAATAGCTCCTAGTTCTACTATGACAAGACTCAGGAGGTTCAGATAACCTTTATTCTCATCCTGGAGGATAATTTTATGTATTCATGATGATGAATAATTATGATAATGTGCACTGCCTAAATGGTTGAGACTTTTCTTACTACTTTTTGGCTTTACGACCTCCCCAAAGAATATTTTGTCTATGTCTTTCGTCTT